TTCAGTTATAAGTAAGTTCTAAAGAGCTAAGGTATACGGTGGTGACCACAGTTAATAAAAATGTATACTGGTACTAAAATTTGCTGAGAGAATTGATCTTTAGTGTATATTTTTGGCAGTAAGGTTTGTTGTAGCCAAAAACTGGAACTATTCCAAGTGCTCATTATTGGAAGAACAGGTACTGAATTGTGGTATCATATGATGAAATACTACACAGCTGTTATAAGTAATAAACTATCCTGGCTGGTGAGGTTCAGTGGCTGAGCATTGACCCATAAAACCAGGAGGTCAGGGTTCAATTGCAGATCAGGGCATATGCCCAGGTTGCAGACTTGATCCCCCCATAGGAATCAATAAAAATATATATTTTTAAAAGATAAGCAAAAATGAAAGATGCAAACATTTATTTATCCTAGAAAGTGAGTTATAAGCTTGTTATACTGTACACTAGAGATTCGTCCAAGAATGGGTCTTCCTTCCCCTGGCTGCCAGCACCTCCTTCCCCTGGCTGAAGCTGCCTTTCTGCCTTCCCACACTGTCCAGAGGCCTGGAGCGACTAGGGTGGTGTGGAATGCCTGCATTGTCACCATGGTGACGATGCAAGCGTCCTGCTCCCAGCTGCTGGGTGCCCACATATGCAAATTAACCTGTCATCTTTGATGGTTAATTTGCATACTCACTCCTGATTGGCTGGTGGATGTCACAAAGGTACAGTCAATTATCATGTTACTCTTTTATTAGGTAGATTCTTTTATATAATACTAGGAGCCCAGTGCATGAAATCAGGTGGCGCTGCCCACCCACCTGCAGCCCTGCCTTGACACCTGAACCTGTCCTCGTAGAGCTCCAGCATGCCTGGCCCAGCCCCCAAACCCTCTGGCCTTCTCTGGCCGCTTAAGCCCCACCCTCAGTCCCTCAAGTTGCCTAGGGCTGGTCCCCGCTTCTAACCCATCTCCAGAGCAATGCCCCAGCTAATATGCTATTATAATTACCTGATCATCATTACCCATTACGGCATATCAACCATTATAGAGCATATTAGCTCTTTATTAGTACAGATAACTTATGTTACATTAATATACTCAAAAAAATATATATATATATATACACACTCTGGTGCTTGTTGTATTATTCTTTGCACTTTTTGTTCTTTTGGGTGGTTGTGGGTTTTTGAGGGTTTTTTTGTGTTTTGTTTTTCAGTTTATGAAGCAGTCAACTAACCCTCTTTTCTACCTACCCATGTTCACCCAAAGTTCACCACAGGGGGAGGAAGGCATACAAACAGGAAAGGCGCAGAGGAAACAGCCACAGGATCAGAAACCACAAAGCTAGTTATAGACAGACAGCAACCTGCTTTAAACAGAAATCATGCTTGCAAAAAAATAACTGGAATTAATGAAAGATCACACTTCACACAGCTGTTTGACTACACAAGTAGCTAGTTAAGAAGTTATGCAGATCTAGGCTCAACACTAACTCTGCCAGTTATCTGCTCCGTGAACTTCAGTAAATTTCTAGCAGCTCTAGGCCTGTATTTCCTTACATTAAGTGGGGCTTACGATATCTACCTCAAAAATCAAGGACTAACTTAGATACCATCCCTAAAGTACTTATGGGAGTGCTTGATACATAGTTATTTGCTCAATGAATTCTAGCTGTGGTCTGTGTGTCAGAACTAGGATTAGAACTCCACCAGTGGGCACATATTTCAGCAAAGCAAACATCCAAACTGATGCACCAAAACAAATTACCCAACAATAAAGCAAACCCTGTTACTGATTAAAATGTATGGCTAAAAGCAATGTAAGAGGAAAGATGAACTACAGAATCGGAGAGATCCACTTATGTGTGACAGCCTTACAGAAACAGGGTTTTGTTTTGTTTTGTTTTGTTTTTAATATGTTTTATTGATTTTTTTACAGAGAGGAAGGAAGAGGGATAGAGAGCTAGAAACATCGATGAGAGAGAAACATCGATCAGCTGCCTCCTGCACACCTCCTCCTGGGGATGTGCCCGCAATTAAGGTACATGCCCCTAATCAGAATCGAACCCAGGACCCTTCAGTCTGCAGACCGACGCTCTATCCACTGAGCCAAACGGGCCCTACAGAAGCAGTTTTTTATAATAAATGCAGAAAAATGCAAACTGTTCTCAAACAGAACAGTTTACCAAACTGAATGGTAATCTCAGTGTGGGTACCCATTGGTCAACATTATCCAGTGATCAAAGAATCAAGTCCTCAGACTCCAACACTTCAAGTTTTAGAAGATAAGGTTTTATAAGTTGCTAAGATGGGGAGAACATTTTTAAAACTTGGGGGGAAAAACATATTTTTAGGATCCTAGGGAAAAAAAAATTATCCCAAGGGTCCTTATTATGAAGACTCAATGTACACTGATGGATTAAAAATTTGTAATTCTCAAATTCAAAAGTTATATAAAGAAATAAAAGTTAATAAAAAATATTACAAGACAAGTAAATGTAAGAAATAAGAATGTATCACTTCACTGAAAAAAAAGTAACTTGAATGAATTCTCCAAAGGATCCATCCAAAATTTCATTGACCAAATTATCCCTATCTCACACATATATTATTTTAAAATATAGAAAAGTAAAGGTTAACAACCTAATCTATGACCTTAAGATGTTGTGATGTCTTAAACCAGGGAAAAAATAAAGTTCAAAAAAATTAAAATTTCTCAAATTCATAAAACTAAAGTTTCTAAACTAATATTTCTGAAGCCAGTGTATAAGAAATTGAAACTAAGTTTCTAAATATATTGTTTTTGTAACATCCACAATAGCTGTCTGATGTGTATGAATCAAAATTATACCTTTTTTTAGTCATATCAGCACAAAATTTTTGGTGTGCCAAAGAATTTTTTAGTAGTTTGTGTGTCACGAGATAAAGGTTGAAAATCACAGCTTTAGATAGTATTTATGAAGCAAATGAACTCTTTTTGGTTTAAAATAACACATTGAAGTTGGGGATGGATATAGGGAGGAAGGAATAAATGAAATTGTCTATAATTTTAAAACTGTTGAAGCAAAATGATGTGTACATGGGGTTCATCATTCTCTTTTCACTACTTTAATATAGTTTTTAAAAATCTATAGTAAAAAAAAATCAAAAGAAGCATACTATTTAAAACTTAGGTTTTAAAGCCAACACAAGTTGGTGAGAAAAAATTTCACAACAGAAAGAGATAAAGCCTTTTTTCTCTATTGTTATTCAGTATATTACTAGAATGTTCCTTCCTTTCCTAATTTCCTTATTTTCCTAATTTGTATCTCCCTCTCTTCAGTCCTTCCTTCCTAATTTCATCCTCGCTGTTACTTAGTTCTCTCCCTCTGTACACACAACTTCCTAAAAGTCAAAAATACTTGTAAATCGGTGCCTCACAACATATCCAATAAATATTTTTAAACAAGGCACCTACAAACACTTTAAAAAATTTTTTTTAGTTTTACCCTAAACACATACAAAACATATTTTTAAATAGTATATCAACTACCTCATCCATTTAAACCAAGTCTTTTATACATGTTACTACACATATTATTGGAGGTGAGTAAATTGAAAGTTTTTCTCACAAGTTTGATGACCACCATTTTGGACAGTAGGATGTCACTTAAAGTGTTTAAGGAGGGCAAAGTGTGAAAAGTACTATATTACAAGAAAAAAAAATCGGGCAGCACTACCTAAGGGACAGAAAAGATGGGGAGAAAGACTATGGTCCGAGACAGTCATAATTCAACAAGGCATTCGTGGAGACGTGAGATGGACAGGAGGACCAGGCAGGCAGGGGATGGGAGGACTTGGTGATGAAAGTGTTGGGGAAGATGAAAACGGGCAGGGGGGAGTGTCGAATACCCTGCCCCGGGGGAAAGCAAGGTAAGATGGACTTATATTCCGGTACAGATGCTGCTCAGACTCAGAGAGACAGATAGTCTAGATTGGGCTAAAACGCTGGGGCTGCCTGGGAGGCCGAGAGACACGTGGGGGCCATCGTGGTGGATATGACAGCTGCACCCAGACGGAGTGAGCTCTCTTAGGGAGAGAAGACGCGAGACAGGCCAAAGAGAGCGTAGCCCAAACCTTGGGGCGCGCCTTGAGGCAATGCAGAACCAGCGGGAACACAGAAAGAGCTGCTGGGGGGGGGGGGGGGTGTCAGCCACCCTCCTTCCAAGCGGCACCCGAGAGCAGGCGGTCCCCGGCTCGGTCACGAGGAGCCCTCCCCACCCCCACCCCCACCCCCGAAGGCGCGCTGGGGGACCACACACCATCCATCGGTGACCGGGAACCGGGCCACTCTGGCCGGGCGGCGCGGCAGGTGCCAGAGGAGGGACAGAGGGGAACGGGGACGCACCCAGGTGCGCGGCGGGGGTGCGGGGAGCGCGCCCGGGGCCAGAGGAAGCAGAGAGGTGAAGACTCGGGCTCCTGTCAAAACCGGTGTGGCTCAGTGGATGGAGCGTAGGCCTACGGACTGAAGGGTTCCAGGTTCGATTCCAGTCAGGGGCATGTACTTTGGTTGTGGGCACATCCCCGGGGGGAAGAGGGGGAGGTGCAGGAGGCAGCTGATGGATGTTTCTCTCTCATGGATGTTTCTAGCTCTCTCTTTCCCTTCCTCTGTGTAATAAGTCAATAAAATACATTAAAAAAAAAAAAAGACTCGGGCTCTCCTTCGTCCCAAACCTGCCTTCACATTCTCTAGGCCGTGGGGCGGGTCCCAAAGCGTCGTATCCTAAGGGATCCGGGAGTTTAAGGGTAGCCTTCCCCAGGCAACATCCCGTTAGAGCCACATTCGAGGGAAAATCTGCAGAAGGCGCAGGCGGGAGAGCTCTTTGCAGGGAAGCGAGGGGCTGGAGGCAAAGGCTGTGGGGTGCGAGGCGCCCCGAGGGCTCCCCCACCCTACCCCCAGCGGACCGCAGCCCCGACCGACCGTCCGTCCGCCCAGCCCGGGCGCCGGGCGCCGCCCATCCCCGACGGGCGCACTCACCGGTCCGCCTGCGTGTAGTGGCAGCGGCCCAGCAGGTTGAGCTTGCAGAGGTGCAGGTGGCCGCAGTCCTGGCGGCAAAACTTGCGACGGCAGACGCGAGCCGCGGTGGTGGCCACCACGGAGCGGGTGACCCCGGCCGGGCCGCCCGCCTCCAGCAGCACGAAGCGGCCGGGCCCCGCCGCCTCCAGCACCTCGCACAGCTGCGCCTCGGACAGCGCGATCTCGCCCAGCAGCGCGTCCAGGGCCAGGCGGCCGCCGCGGGCGCACAGGATCTTGGTGATGAAGCTGCACACCTCCGGGTCCGCCATGGCGCCGCTCCGCGCGGGGCCGGCCCGGGCGCCACTCACTCGGCTGGCTCTCCTCGCTCTCCTCGCTCTCCTCGCTCTGCTCTCCGGGAGGAATCGAAACTTACGGGACCGGGAGGGGCGGGGCGCTCGGGCGGGGCGCGGGGTTCGGAGCGCGCGCTCCCCCCGCCGCCGTTAGCGGTTTCGGTTTCCCTCTCGCGCGGCTCCGGGTCCAGAGGGCGGATCCGCCGATCCCGGCCCCGGTGTCGGAGTTAAAGTCCTAAAAGTCAAAAATACTTGCAAACCGGGTGGGAAGGCCGGCCTGTCGCGCGGGCGGGTCGGCGGCCCCCGCCGGGTTCTAGGTTCCGGAGCGCGAGGCTCCCCGGCGGCGCGGGGCGAGGGCGAGGCTGCTCGGGGAGAAGCGGGACCGAAGCGGTCCGGACACGCTCTGGTGCGTCTTGTTTGGAGACGCCTGGAGACGTGCTCTCCGCACCCCACCCTTCCAAGAAAGCACACACCTTGTGAGCGCCAGCTCCGGGCTGGGAGCAGGCTTCCCGCAGCAGATCTTCTCTGCAGGGGACTATTCGTATTAGCATCTCCGCTCTGCGTTTGAGGACCAACCCTGAGCCATCGAGCTGCAGCCCGACGCTTGCTTGACCCACAAGCCCAGCGTGTGGGCCGCCTGGCAGGGACCGCTGTGCACTTTCTCCCACGCCACCCCGCCAGGGCCGCACGCTTCCTAAAAAACGGCGGCTGTGCCTCTCCCTGCCCTTTGCCATCTCTGAGCTTTTGGAAGGATCTCTTTCTGACCTTCCTGGGCCTGCCTGTCATCGCTGACCGCGGTGCCCCAGGCTTCGTCGAATTCCCTCCAGCAATCAGGCAGTCAGTCACGAGGGCCTGTGTAGACGCATTCTCAGGATCTCAGAAAGGTTTCTCTCTTTGGACGTTTGGACAGGACCTTTTTCCCCTGTGGGCACCCACTTGGACCTTCAGAGTTGGTATAGAGACTGTTGAAAACATTTGTACTACAAAAGGTGCATATACGAAATTTTATCTGGAATTCTCTCCATCTGACTAAAGCAGAGCCTCCTGAAAATACAGCTACCATGAACTCTCTACATCAGGAGCTGACTGCTAATGTAGTTGCCTGGTGGAGACAGACTGCCATTCTATTAGCATCAAAAAGCCCAATAGGAAAAAAAAAAAAAAAAAAAAAAAAAAAAAAAAAAAAAAAAAAGCCCAGTAGAACCTTCTATACTCTCCTCCTGAAGCCCTAAACCCCTTTTGTTAAATTGAGACACACAATCTTCTGGCTATTCCAGGACTTTTCGAATACTGGGCCCTCCTCACCGCTACCCATGTGTAAATAAATCTTGTCTTTTCTCCTGTTCTCCTATTGTCAGTTAATTTGCAGGCCCCCAGCACTGGACCCAAGTTGGGAGTGGAGAGAAAGTGTGTGTGTGTTTGTGTGTGTGTGTGTGTGTGTGTGTGTGTCTCCTGCCGAACCCCTGCCCCCCAACACTCCAAATGAAATAAATGGGTCACTGATCAGATCAGAAATAAACCTTTTTCCAGAAGGATAGAATTTAGTTGTTAAAGTGGAAATTCTACAAAAATGATCCATGTGAACGCTCCTCAGTTTTGGGATTTGTAGTACATGGACTATGTCTCAGGAATAGAGGACTTGGGTAAGACCCCAGCCAAACATGGGGCCCACACAGGATCATTTGGCTGTTTGTTCCCTCTGGCTCTTCTGAAGTTGCCTTTGATCCCCTTAGTCTTACCTATGGTCTGACAGGTCCCCAGGAGAGGGCTTTTATTGTCAAACCAATGAAATTCAACAAAGTATATTGTATGTAGGTAGCCCTTACATTACTCACTCTGAACGTAGGGAAGTTTAAGAAATAGTCCCTGCTCTGAAGGAGCTTCTGTTTGGAAAGACACGAAAAAAGCACCTCTGTGTTTCAATTGCAGTTTCACCATCTCCCAGAAGTATAATCTTAGTTGACCAGTCTAGAATTTGGAAAAATCTGTTCCGTGGGCCTTCTCCATCTTTCCTGGAATGCCCAGGAAGAAGAGGCAATCTCCTTGATAAAACCTTTGCCTTTTCCTCTCCCACAAAATGGTGACGTGTTGGCCCGAAAATAATCATTTCATTTGCTAATAACTCACCTGCCACACCCTTCTGCCTATAAAAACCTTCCATTTTGTAAATAATCCCTTGGAGGCCCTTCTAGTTGCTAGATAGGATCCCGCCTGATTCATGAATTGTGTAATAAAACCAATGAGATAGTCAATTTTACTTGGTTGAATTTTGTTTACTATCAGGTTAAATGCTGTCATTAGCATATAAGACACTTGAGAAGGGAGAGTACAGTTTGGCTAGAGAGCCTAGGAATAAAGCTATAAAAAAAATCCCCCTTGATTTGAAGTCATGAAAAATGACCTAAGGGTTGTGGGAAGGGGAAAGGCAGCCGTTTGGGGAAATTTTGAAGTGTGTGCTGCCACAGGTTGGGTTCTCTGAGAAGCAGGCAGATGCAGAGTTAGGAGTGTAACACCAGGAAACGTTAAGGGAAGAAGCTGGATTGGTTGGTTCATGAGAGTTGTCAGACTGGCTTGCAGATCTCGTAAGTCCTCCAACCTGGCTGGGAGCAGGAGCCCAACCTTGGCCCACTGCCTTGCTTGTCATGGGGGAGGAGTCCCTGGAGAAGTACGTGACTCTAGTCCACACACGGGAGCAGATCCTGAAGGAGCTTCAGCTGGAGGCTATCACCTAAAACACACTCCCTGACTTGGGCAACCATTCCTAGCTGAGTGACATACTATTGTGCCTGCTATAGTCCACCCTTCCCACCACCACTATCTATTTCTCCATCTGTATTCGGGGAATACCTTCTCCCCTGCACTGATGGGCAGCTCTTTCTGAAGGGAAACCTAGCAGAGGGAAGCTGATGGAACTTACTATAGCCCCTGTCACAGCAATTGGTTGCAAGGCCATGACAGGGCCTCATGGTGTAGGACCACATGGTATAGGACCTTCACTGCTATCCATTCTAATTCCCCTCACCCTCAGCTATCACCTCAGCAGCTCTCAGTAGCATACCTGGGTGGGTACCCCAAATCCCCATTTCTAAGTGGTCTAAGCACCTTCTCAGACTAGGGTTGCTGTTCTTGTCTATTCACAGTCACAGTTGGGCAAAAGAGTATTAACTGACACCCAAATAGGTCACTGGAGCCCGCACTGTCCCCACTAATAGTGGCCCTACCTCTTCGTAAGAGATACTCACTACAGGCCTTAGCGTGCAATACAATCAACTTCCCACTTAGTGTCCACTCCTATAATCTCTATCCCAGACCTTCTCATCTCGGGTTTTATAACCTTTTCCATTCAGGATCCCCATCCACAGCCAGGCCACTCATCACTGACCCTAGGTCCACAAATGTTCTAACTTTGGACTATTCTCCATCTATTATACATAAAATGGATGACCAGGTGCACTTCCCAAAGCCCCTCCCCTTGGGGAGATGTTCCCTCACCACTGTTTCCCATGCCCTTCCCTGCAAGAGTGAGACTGTAATATAGCTGCCATGCATTTTTAAAAAATATATTTTATTGATTTTTTTATAGAGAGGAAGGGAGAGAGATAGAGCTAGAAACATCGATGAAAGAGAAACATCGACCAGCTGCCTCCTGCACACCCCCTACTAGGGATTCGCCTGCAACCAATGTACATGCCCTTGACTAGAATCAAACCCGGGACCCTTCAGTCCGCAGACTGACGCTCTACCATTGAGCCAAACTGGTTTCGGCTGCCATGCATTTTTACTGTGCACCCACATAGTGAGATGACCTATCCATAACTTGAGTTTAGTCTTTTTTTCCTTGTTGAGGTGTTTTTGTGGGACCCCCTCATACAGCCATAGGATGTAAGTTGGAGGAGGGGTGTGCCAGTGCAACTGTAATGAGTGACGTGGAAATCTGGGCTACTTACCATTCAGCTCATGAGTCCTGATGTACCAGTTTCCTCTGCTGATGGCTTTGATACTGGGCCTGCCTGGCTTTCTGACTTGATGTGCCCAGTGTGATGGCCAGTTCTGAACCCTAGTCAATCATTATCTCTACCAGTGCCCAGCAGCAAGCTAGGAGCTGTGTTTTGAAAGGAGTGTAATTCTTCACTGCAGTTGGCATAACCCTGTTCAGTAATCCCAGGGGATGGCATTGTGATTCTCCTGCTGGAACTTGTCATAAATGTTGAACTACATCCTTTCCCATCTGACACCTCCAATGCTCTAGGCTCTGCCTGATTGTACAGTCCAAGCAGAAAGGCTGCTAGAATCGAAGCCTGGGCCTGCTGCAGAGCTATTTCCTTCTCTGAGCCCCACTCAAAGCTGGCAGCCTTCCGTGTCCCCAGGACCTAGGCTACAGTAGTATTCTTATGTGTGTGTGTATTTTAAAATATATATATTTTATTGATTTTTTACAGAGAGGAAAGAAGAGAGAGAGAGTTAGAAACATCGATGAGAGAGAATCATCAATCAGCTGCCCTTGCAAACCCCTACTGGGGATGTGCCCGCAACCAAGGTACATGCCCTTGACCGGAATCAAACCCGGGACCTTTCAGTCCGCAGGCTGACGCTCTATACACTAAGCCAAACCGGTTTCGGCTGTATATATATATATATATATATATATATATATATATATTAATATTTTTATTGATTTCAGAGAGGAAGGGAGAGGGAGAGAGACAGAAACATCAATGATGAAAGAGAATCACAGATGGGCCGCCTCCTGCACACACCCCCACTGGGGACCGAGCCCGCAATCCAGGCATGTGCCCTGACCAGGAATGAACCATGACTTCCTGGCTTATAGGTCATCACTCAAACCCCTGAGCCACGCCGGCCGGGCTATTCTTAGGTGTAGAATGTGTTTTCTCAAGAACCCAAAGATTCCTAACAGATTCTGTGCTTCCTTCTTTCTAGCAAGGGATCCGAAATGCAGCAATTGGTCTTTCACTTGG